TGTAGTAGAGTAACAGAAATTCAACAGACCCAACAGTCATGTCATGCATGCTGCTGATTCTGTGTAATTGAATCACTAATTGAAAGGGGCATGTTCAAAATAATAGCAGTGTGGAGTTCTATTAGTGAGGTCATTCATTCTTTGAAAAACAGGTGGCAATTATTGCCCTTATTTAAGGAAGGAAGGCAGCAAATGTTGTACATGCTGGTTACAGTGCATTTCTCTCGGAAATTCTGAGGAAAAATGGGTCGTTCCAGACATTGTTCAGAAGAACTGCGTACCTTGATTAAAAAGTTGATTGGAGAGGGGAAAACATATAAAGAAGTGCAGAAAATGATAGGCTGCTCAGCTAAAATGATCGCAAATGCTTTAAAATGGCAACCAAAACCTGAAAGACGTGGAAGAAAGCGAAAAACTACCATTGGAATGGATAGAAGAATAGACAAAATGGCAAGGACTCAGCCAACAATCAGCTCCAGGAAGATCAAAGAAGGTGTAAAGTTACCTGTGAGTACTGTTACAATTAGAAGACGCCTATGTGAAGCCAAGCTATCTGCAAGAAGCCCCCGCAAAGTCCCACTGTTGAAAAAAAGACGTGCTGAAGAGGTTACAATTTCCAAAAGAGCACATTGACTGGCCTAAAGAGAAATGGCGCAACATTTTGTGGACTGATGAAAGTAAGATTGTTCTTTTTGGGTCTAGTGGCCGGAGACAGTTTGTCAGACGACCCCCAAACACTGAATTCAAGCCACAGTACACTGTGAAGACAGTGAAGCATGGTTGCGCAAGCATCTTGATATCGGGATGTGTCTCATACTACGGTGTTGGGCCTATTTATCGCACGTACCAGGGATCATGGATCAGTTTGAATACATCAGAATACTTGAAGAGGTCATGCTGCCTTATGCTGAAGAGGAAATGCCCTTGAAATGGGTGTTCCAACAAGACAAAGACCCCAAACACACCAGTAAACGTGCAACATCTTGGCTCCAGACCAACAAGATTGACATTATGGAGTGGCCAGCCCAATCCCCGGATCTTAATCCAATAGAAAACTTGTGGGGTGACATCAAAAATGCAGTTTCTGAGGCAAAACCAAGAAATAGAAGAAGAACTGTGGAATGTAGTCCAATTATCCTGGGCTGGAATATCTATTCACAGGTGCCAGAAGTTGGGTGACTCCATGCAACACAGATGTACAGCAGTTCTCAGAAATAGTGCTTATACAACTAAATATTCATTAAGATTCAAAGTAAAGCAAAGTCTTCAAACATTTTTCAGTTTATATAGTGAATGTCTGAATTTGTAAAGAGGAATACAAACACTGCAATTTTTTTGAACAGTCTAATATTCACTTTTCTTCATTTTTTTTTAGAGGAACAACACAAATTTGATCTATTTTTCTTCATGTTTTGATTTGGAATAGAATGTGTAGTGTTCCCAATGCATTTGTGTGTATGGAAATAAAAGCTATTAGAAGGATTTTGAGCTTCATTCACTTTTTTCAACACACTGCTATTATATACAGTATACAGTATATATATATATATATATTTTTTTTTTAAATGTATTTAATTATTTTTTTTTTAATTTGCTAAATGTAATTTTTAAACAAAAGTGGAGTTATCCTTTAAGGAATTTCCAAGAAAAATTCAGTTACAAACTATACATGAGGGGGCACAAAACAGGCAATAAGGTGTGAGACTTAAAGTGGGCTTTAAAGCGAAATTTCAGCTTTACAGCATATTTTGTGCCTATATAAATATATACTCGCCTAGGTGGATGCAGTATCGATCTGCATCTGTCCCTCACCGGATCTGCACTGAGAATTGAGAGATCAAACACCGTTGATCACTCTGAGCAGAGAGCCGTGACTGTCAGTCTCTGGATCTCTGCTCTGTCCCTTCAGTACTCATTGAAGAGCTGGATGGCAGTGGGAGCAGAAGAAGTGGCTGGCTCAGGCTCTCAGCGATCACTGAAAAGCTGAGCCAGGTGCTGGTCCAGGCTTCTGGGTGGATCCTGACCATATGGTCAGAATCTTTTCCTGGACCAGGTCTGTGATGTTAGTCAACTGTGGGCTTTGGCCCGCTGTCGGCTAAAACTGGGTCACAGAAGTGCAGAACTAACTGCACTACTGTAATCCATAGGAGGAGTATAACCGAAAAAGCTTTGGCTATACTTCTCCTTTAATGATGATATCATTGAGCACTTACATAATTTTTTTTGTCTGGGGTTCTGTTTTAGAAACTTGTGTATATAATGCAGTTGTTTTCTTTTAATTTGAAATCATGTGTAGCACTACCTCCTCAGGAGTTACAAAAGAATTGTGTCCCCCTATAGTTCTGCACAGCCAGGCATCACACATTTTCCATTCAGGCTTGCATCATGAGACAGAAAACCAGCCCTTGAGCTTTGTTTTGAAGTTTTGTTAGGGATATAGAACTTGGATGGGGTAAAGGGTATATGGGATGCCCAATGGAATGGCAACTTAGGACAAACTTCCTAAACTTTATTACAAGTCTCATAGTCAGAATGTCTCTTCTAGGAGAGCTTTCCAGCCTCTCCTTTTGTACCACCCCAGGCCCCCGATAAATCCTCTTCTTTATCCAGCCATCTGGAGGAATCCCTGGGCAAGGTAAAAAACCTTTTGTGTGCAGCAGCCCCCCAAATACTTACTCCAGCCTTTCCCGATCCAGCAATATGCACAAGAGCAGCGGCTTTCCAGGGACTTTTCCTCCTCATTGGGTGAGACACAGCAGAGAAAGCCATTGACTCCTGCTGCTTTCAATTACAGCCAGTGAGCCAATGAGGAGAGAGAGAGAGGGTGGGGCCAAACCATGGCTCTGTGTGTGAATGGACACACAGAGCAGCAGCTCGGGAGCGAATCTGCATGGGCACCCCCACAGCAAGCTGCTTACTCTGGGGGCACTTGGCAGGGAGGGAGGAGCCACGAGCACCAGCAGGGGACCCAAGAAGAGGAGGATCAGGGCTGCTCTGTGCACAACCACTATTTGGTATTTATTTATTTTATTCTTTAAATTGCCTTTAATATCACTTTAAGCCTGTCAGCCGAGACACAAGTTGGTGTTTTCATGGCCACTAGCCAGGCTGAGCTGCACACATTCATTCCAATTCAACTGTTCATCTTCTGACACTCTTCGATGCACTCCCTTTTTGTTTTGTTCTCCAGTATACTGTATATTTCTTTGTGTGGATTTGTGGTCAGCTGCTGGAAGAGGATATTATATATACATGACTTTTTATGCTGGATCGCCAAGATTCCTGTTATTATGGTGGGGTATTTGTCTTTGGATTGTGATTTTAATACACTTCAACACCATGGATGTTTACTATACTACAATGAAAAAAAAGTGAAATAAACCATCGTGACAAAATGACAAAAAAAAAGACAAATGGGTGCAAATGAACACTTATTTTGTCTTAATATAACTCCCTCACACAATAAACTAACTAAACAAATACAAAGGTACAGCATGCATTTATTGTGACATATGCAGCTATTTGGTATGATAAAGCAAGGCTAGATGCCACCCTACTGACACAAATAGAGCTACATTTAGCTGTGCAATATGCAATGTAACAAAACAGCTCCTTGTTCTTAAGTTCCCCTGTAGGGGGTTTTCCCAGAACATGCAATTTTACCTTAAAATAGAAAATTCTGATATTTCAGCAAATATATAATTTGTGCACAATGAGGAGAAAATTACTTTGCTTCTATTATTTATGGGGATACTAATTACACTTTTTGATACATCCGTAACAAAGCTAGACACAGCTGGGATGCAGCGATTGAATTTCCGCTATAAATAAAGTTATTGAAGTGAGCCTCTTCATAGTGCCTTGGGTGATATTAGGAGTGCTGTGATGTAAACATGATTGTCCCTTTCATTTATAGAAGGCTTCAAAATCATGGAGGAAAAAATGGATGTGAAATACAGTAAGAGCTAGGTTTTGTTTTCTTCAGATTCAATGTATTTTGGCTTGGGTTAACCCCTTCACACCTTCTCCCAGTGGCCCTTTAAGTGGGCTGTATTGCCTGGGAGGCAGTTCTCTATCATGTGATTGCTGTGATTAGTTCTCACAGTGGTCACAAGATCTGAAGCCTGTCCCGATGACTCCCGATCATGAGCCATCCGTGACATCTCGGTCTGTGTGCTTGGAATGGCATCTCAGCACACAATGTCGGATCACTGTGGACGCATATGTGTATATGGGTGTTAACCACTTCAAGTCCGGACACTTTTCACCCCCTTCCTGTCCAGGTCAATTTTCAGCTTTCAGCACTGTTACACTTTGAATGACAATTGCGCGGTCATGTAACACTGTACCCATATGATTTTTTTAGCATTTTTTGAGACAGATAAATCTTTATTTTGGTGATATTTATTCACCACTGGGATTTTTATTTTTGTGCTGTATAAATGAAAAAGTCCAAACATTTTGCAAAAAAAGTGTTTTTCTTATAAAATTTTACAAATAAACAATCTGTCTTCATAACGATTGGCCAAAATGTATTCAGCTATCTTTTAGTAAAAATAAATTGCCCAAATTAGTTTATAACCAAAAATTATAATTATTTAATTTTTTTAATTTTAAATTTAATTTTTTTTTATAATTATTATTTTTTTTTTTTTTAACAAACTGTCAACATAGCAGTACAGTGTCACCATAGTGACACTGTTCTACTTGGTGGGGGGTGATGAAGATTTTTATTTTTTTTCCACTGATTGCTTTTACACCCATAAAAGCTGTAAAAGGAATCATTTCTCCTCTCTGGCTGCATTCTTTCAGCAATTGAGAAATACTGTGAGAGCTGTGATTGGTCACAGCTTGTCACATGGTACAAGGTTGTTGTGAATATCCTTGTACCATGTGACCTCTGTGATTATTCACAGATTTCACTAGTGGTAAGCAATGATGTCAGGAAGTGATATCTTGCTTACTACTATTCATGTGATCAGTCAATCAGTGATCGGGACCTCACGTAGAGGTCCCGTACAGTGATCGGTGTTCTGCTGTGTCCAGAGGATACAGTGGGCACCAGATCATGGTGCCGCACGCTCCCAGGGAGCGCGCACAGGCAGTGAATGCTGGGGCTATTTATAAACTGCAACCCGCTTCAGCACTGCTCCCGTCCGGCCGTTTATCTACATGGGCCGGACGTCAAAATTATGTGCCACTTTGTGTTTGTCTATCACATAAAATCCCAATAAAATACCTTTATGTTTTTGGTTGTAACATGACAAAATATGGAAAATATCATGGGGTATGAATGCTTTTTCAAGGCACAATATATATATATATATATATATATATATATATATATATATATATATACACACACACATCTAAATCACACACACATCACACACATCTAAATCAAATCAAATATTTGGTGCAACTACCCTTCGGCTTCAAACCAGGATGGTTTCTTACACTTGCACATTTACACAAGAGCATAGATTTTGTAGGATTAGAGTCAGGTTCCAAGCAGATGCTAATTATCATCAATGTTATATGTAGGTTGAAACACAGTCATTAAAGTGTTTCTAAACCCCGGACCCTGCATTCACTATATCTAGTCTCTCACAGTACACAGAACATGGAAATTCAATTATTTTAGTAAATATAAACTGCTAAATACCTTTTCTCATCAGCAGTATATAGCAGTCTTGTGACTTCTATCAGTGACCAGCAGAGCACTGGTTAAAGCTTGTAGGAGGAGTTTTCATTCTCCTTTTGCTGTTCTATGAGACCTCAGAACCCCTGACCCTCTGTCTGGACAGTGCTGACTGGCCCTGTGCAGATCATATGCACCCTCCCAAGAAAAAAAAAAAAAACCTCTCTAGCAATACAGACCAAACTGAGCATGTGCAGCTTGCCCCAAGGCTTTGTTCTATCAGGAGATGTGTCAGGGATTGTGGAAAAAGGGGAGGATCAGGGATAACATCCTTTTTACAGTGCACAGAAAACCCTTTAAGTTCCATAGTGAGTATAATAAGCATGCTTTACTGCATATACAGACTGATTTTACTGTTGCGGGATTAGTAATACTTTAACTGAAATAGAAACACCTCTGCAGGAGACTTAAAACTGGGTGAGGAACAGCCAAACTCTGCTACTGAGGTGAAGTTGTGAAAGACAGTTTAATGTCACAGGTCACACACCATGGCAAGACTGAGCACAGCAACAAAGACACAAGGTAGTTATACTGCATCAGCAAGGTCTGTCCTAGCCGACCGGGGTTTCAAAGAATCCTTAAAGTTCTTGCTCAAGTCCATAAGTCCATGTTCTGTAACCCCAAGTTTGTTTGTGCCAAGGGGTGAACACAAAAGCAGCTTATGACTTACATGATATAGCAATCTCCTGTTCTCTTCCCACACATGAAACAACCCAATCTGGAGGCGGTTCCCTCTTTTATCTAGTCCCTAGCAGAGGGCGGTACTACCAAAAAGCCAGGGAAAACCTGACCAGCATGGATAACCCTTGACTTCCAGGAGGCATCAGCTCAACCGGGCAACATAACTAAACAGTGCAAACATTATATTCAAAACATAATGGAGAAAAAAATCAAAGAACACATAACCTCTTAGTAAGCACCTGCTTACAAGCAGGTAAGTCTTCCATTGAAGCCACTGCTGCTACTGGAAGAAGAGGACATCACATGACTTGCCAGAAGACTGCTTAAATTAAGGTATGCCTAAAGGGAATATTAAAAATATGTGTGTTGTGTGTGTGTGTGTGTGGGGGGTGTGTGGGGGGGGGGATTTATTTATTAATTTTTAAAGAGGAATTCTAGGTATGAATATTTTATACATAGTACATTGGTCCAACTTGGACAAATGTTATTATGCATATACCAAACATGGAACCTGGAAACTGAAAATCGCTGAAGTGGATATCTTCACTGCCCCACCCCTCCATTTTATTCTTTGCATTCCTTCAGAAAGTGCACAAGATTCTCTGAATGGTGTCCATGCCAAGTGGTTCAGAATGCAGCAGGACAGCCTCTCAGCGCGGGCCCTGAAAGCAAGTGGAGGTCACTGGGTAGGAAATCCTGAAAACATGACCTGTTAGGGGTCCATGAGGACTGGAGTTGAGAAACACTGCATTAGTCCAAGGTGGACCAATGTATCTATGTATAAAATATCCATACCTGTATTCTTATTTAAGCTGGAGATCTGTTTTAAGTATCTTACTGTTTTCCATCAGCTGCAATTATTTTTACACACCTGCCCAGACTCACCCCTAGAATGATACTGTAAATGCATCATTGTCTTTGGCAAGGTTATTACACAGTGTTAGGGAAACAGAACTGTGAGAGCTATACAAAATGAGGACTAATGAGTACAAATGAAAGACAATTGACCCTGTGTACTTCTTTGGTTAGTATCAGTGGAAGACTTGTTAGGCAGCCCGAAGAAAACATTACTCCCACAGTGAAATAGCAAACACACAATGGGAATTAAACAAATGTGCCATATACTGTAGCAGATATACAGAAAGCCCAAGTCCAACCTTTAGTAACTTTGGAATGAGGGGCTATGGTAGATAGGCGAAGCCTACAGCATTGTCAGAAAAGACCGTCTGATAAACCAAGGTCCGAAAGCATTAGACAGACCGTAAATAAATAATGTAACATGTTATAAAATGTTCCTAGACGGAGACAATCTCTTTAAAAGAGCCTCCATTATTTTGTTCTAAAAAGAATGTCTGTTGCAGATGCTGTAATAATAGCAGACATAACACAAAAGAAAAGCCTTCTTATGTTATAAGAATGAAACATGTCCATGTCTTCATTGTGCCAGCTGCAATGGAAGTATTAAAGGGGGAATGTTTTCACAGCCTTCAAAATACAGTTAAAGGTTTTCATACCTACATCTCACAATATATGTAATATACAGCATTAATGCTGAAGAGCTCTTGTGGGCTTGGATACATACTGTAGGTCAAGCAAGCAGGGGAAATTAAAGTGGAATTCCAGGCTAGAACTAACTATGATTAAATCTGCTCCCACACCTTTATTTTAAACTGTAGCCTTTTTAACGTTTATGGTTTTTTTTTTTTAATTTTTAAATGTATCAATTTGAAGTGAAAAAAAGTAAAAGCTAATAATGTTTCATAATATCTTTGTGACTCTTGTTTATACAAATGTTCCTTATAGGTAATCATGCCAGTCAATCATCCTTTCTTGGTATTGGTGGCAACGATCTATGGGCTTATGGAAAATAATGCATGCTTGCATTGGTACATTTTCCCCAGGGCAGTGTCCATCACTTATACCAGGGTAATTCAAGAAGAATATATATATAAATGTGCAGAAACTTTTTGAAGACCCCCATATATATGTATATATATATATATATATATATATATATATATATACACAGGTGAAACTCGAAAAAAATTAGAATATCGTGCAAAAGTTCATTTATTTCAGTAATGCAACTTAAAAGGTGAAACTAATATATGAGATAGACTCATTACATGCAAAGCAAGATAGTTCAAGCCGTGATTTGTCATATAAGTGTGATGATTATGGCTTACAGCTCATGAAAACCCCAAATCCACAATCTCAGAAAATTATAATATTACATGCAATCAATAAAAAAAAGATTGTACATAGAACATTATCAGACCTCTGAAAAGTACAAGCATGTATATGTACTCAGTACTTGGTTTGGGCCCCTTTTGCAGCAATTACTGCCTCAATGCGGCGTGGCATGGAAGCCATCAGCCTGTGGCACTGCTGAGGTGTTATGTAAGACCAGTATGCTTCAATAGCGGCCTTCAGCTCTTCTGCATTGTTGGGTCTCATGTCTCTCATCTTTCTCTTGGCAATGCCCCATAGATTCTCTGTGGGGTTCATGTCAGGCGAGTTTGCTGGCCAATCAAGTACAGTAATCCCATGGTCATTGAACCAGGTTTTGGTGCTTTTGGCAATGTGGGCAGGTGCCAAGTCCTGCTGGAAAATGAAGTCAGCATCCCCATAAAGCTCGTCTGTGGAAGGAAGCATGAAGTGCTGCAAAATCTCCTGGTAGATGGCTGCGCTAACATTGGACTTAATGAAGCACAGTGGACCAAAACCAGCAGATGACATGGCTCCCCAGATCAACACAGACTGTGGAAACTTCACAATGGACTTCAAGCATCTTGCAGTGTGTGCCTCTCCGTTCTTCCTCCATACTCTGGGTCCTTGGTTTCCAAATGAGATGAAAAAGTTGCTCTCATCAGAAAAGAGGACTTTGGACCACTGAGCAACAGACCAGGTCTGTTTTTCTTTAACCCAGGTAAGAGGCTTCTGACATTGTTTGTTGTTCAGGAGCAACTTGACAAGAGGAATACGACATTTGAAGCCCATGTCCAGGATCCGTCTGTGTGTGGTGGCTCTTGATGCACTGACTCCAGCCTCAGTCCACTCCTTGTGAAAGTCCCCAACACTTTTGAATGGCCTTTTCCTGACAATCCTCTTCAGGCTGCGGTCATCCCTGCTGCTTGTGCACCTTTTTTCTTCCACATTTTTCCCTTCCACATAACTTTCTATTAATGTGCTTTGATGCAGCACTTTGGGAACATCCAATTTCTTTTGCAATTACCTTTTGAGGCTTTCCCTCCTTATGGAGGGTGTCAATGATGGTTTTCTGCACAACTGTCAGGTCAGCAGTCTTCCCCATTATTGTGATTCCTACTGAACCAGACTGAGAGACCATTTAAAGGCTCAGGAACCCTTTGCAGGTGTTATGGCTTAATTAGCTGATTAGAGTGGGACACTTTGAGCCTAGAATATTGCACCTTTTCACAATATTCTAATTTTCTGAGATTGTGGATTTGGGGTTTTTATGAGCTGTAAGCCATAATCATCACAATTATGACAAATCACGGCTTGAACTATCTTGCTTTGCATGTAATGAGTCTATCTCATATATTAGTTTCACCTTTTAAGTTGCATTACTGAAATAAATGAACTTTTGCACAATATTCTAATTTTTTCGGTGTTTCACCTGTA